CAAATAAATTAAAATAATTGAAATCCTGTGGTTCGGTGGGCCGAAGACGCCGGACCCCAGGATTTGAATAATTGAAATAATAGAAATCCGGCCGATTTCTATTATTTCGATTCTTGGGGTGGCCCAAATAATCGAAATAATAGAAATCGGCCGGGTTTCAATTATTTCGATTATTTCGATTATTCAAATCTGTGGTGTTCGTGGCTAAACCACAAACCCCACCGATTGCAATTATTTCGATTTTTGGGGTGGCCCAAATAATCGAAATAATAGAAATCGGCCGGATTTCAATTATTTCGATTATTTCGATTATTCAAATCGGTGGTGTTCGTGGCTAAACCACAAACCCCACCGATTTCAANNTTCAATTATTTCGATTCTTGGGGTGGCCCAAATAATCGAAATAATAGAAATCGGCCCTGCTGATTTCAATTATTTCAAGTATTTATATTCTTATTAATCGTATGAGAAAGAAATAGGGCGTCAAATAGACCCTAGAGGCGCCTCTCTCATATATATATATATCTGTGTGTGTGTGTCCATATATGCTCACCCCCCCCCGCCCAAGACCTACCGCATGGGACTGTGGAAGGCAGAAGGACCATGCCGTAATGTCATGTGCTTGGCCAAAAGCCCATGCCTGTGCCTGTGCTGCCCAAGATCTTACTACTCGGTCTTTGCGTGCTTTTGGGTTGAGCCAGCGTCCTTTTTACGTAGTCACTGGTACGCACCTGCGTGAGTGTGAGTGGGAGGGTGGATGGATGTCTTCGCAAGCCAAGGGTGTCTGCTACGTTGACGCCAGCATCTGACCTGTTCGTGCAGAAGCAGCATGGTGCACCGATAGATACGTGCCGCTTGCAAGGCGCACAGGGAGCATCAAGCACCGTCCTTTTGGATGATGCCTGCATTTGCCTGCGTTCCGGGTAGAGTTGTGTTTAGACTGCTTGGATCCCTTTCGAGGCTTCTTTGTGCTCGGTGTCGTGCAGGGCGTGACATCGTGGCTCGTATATGTCAGCCTGTTCACGCGGTGCTTTCCACTCGCGACATGGCCGCAGACGGTATCTGTTCGCTCGTGAATCAACATGGCAGAAGATACACAAGACTTTGTCACTGCCATGCAAACAGCATTCGGCGATCAGACAGCCGAGCAGCGAGAGAGCGAGGAGAGGGGCTTGAGGCAAATCTCAGCGGGCAACACTTAAAGCGGCAGTTTCGCGGGGGTGCTTCTGATCACCTGCCGAGTGCTGGGCCCGAGAGGCCCAGGAGGCAAAGGCAGATAGCTAGGGAGAACTGTCACGCGAGGTTCCGGGCACGTCGAGAAGTCCAATAAAACCCTGACGGAAGAACTAGCAACCGTACTGTAGCATCCTGGCGCCATGCTTCAAGTGATGCCTCTTCAATCGAACCACCATGTGCAACACATGCAACACTACATGTGTTGCAGGCAACGCGATTGGTTAACTTGCCTCTCAAAGACAAGTTCAAGGTTCACGGCAGTTAGAGCGGACAAGATGCATCATGCAGTCTCAATGTCACAATGCACAGAATGATACGGATTGCCTTTGATATCATTCGATTGTGGAACAGGATTGGCCTGGGCTGCGGCAGCTGTGTCTGCAGATTGCTTTCGACCTGGCCGTGTATGCTACTCGGCTGAAGAAGCGGCGGACAAAGACAAACACAGTTGTTGTGACAATGCGGCACCTCTGACTTAAAGACTTAAGTATCTTAATCAGCAGATCTCAGTGATTCAGTGATCTGAGCCTGTAGAATCTCGGCCGCGTCACCGGTGCAACGCGCCTCCGATCGGTCAGCTTCTCACTATGTGTGAATTGCCCGCGCCTTCTCGTGAAGTGTTCGAGTTTCTGATATGCAGAGAAACTGCGAAGATCAACGAGGTGCCTTTTGTACATTTTCCAGTCTTCTATATTGCACAAGGACGGGCGTACACGCTTTCTACAGTAGCAGTGGTTTGTCGGTTTCCGGAACCTTCGGAGCTACCTTGGAGATATGCCTAATGTTCCATGCAACATGGCCAGTGTTATCGTGCCTGTTCTGAGCTTGATGTTTGCTCGGGTCTGCGTTGCACGAGCACTACTACCGGGAGGCGCTGTGCACGGCGAGGATGCATCATCCAGCCTGTCCAGGCATCCCTTTCATTCGCATCCCTCCAGTTGCCTTATGGGTGCGAGTCTTTTGAGGTGGCGTTCTAACCTCCTGGAAGATGCTGCAGGCCTTCGATTCGCACTTTGCTCATCACTTGCACCTTGCGCCGGTGCAGGGTACTACAAAGCACACGCTTGCAACTTGCAACACAGTGGCCACCATGAAACAAGAAGCAAGCAAGTACTCACAGCACGTGATGCTGATTTTTCGTTCGCCTGGCACTCGTAGTTTTGTTTAAAGCTCAATAAATGGTGAACTGAACTGGCTTCATCCGCAGGTGGAGCTGCATTTTGGCTCCCAATGGATGTGCTGTGCTTCACCGTTCCAATGTGGCTCCGCATGCCGATCGGGCGTCAGACTTAGATGCACGTGCGAATATTTTTCGCATATGGCATCTTTGCTGCCTGCCTTCCTGTCTAGATGCCACGTGTTGGCTTGCGAGGTACTTTACCACTTTCTGGTATGCGGCGCTGCTTTCCGTGTTTCGGGGCAGTGAGTTGTCAGTTTCCTTGGAAAAGAAAGATATGTTTCAGACAACTTCGGCTGGAGCAAATTGTTCTCCAGGCTGAAAGATTTATTGATTCCATTTAGCCTTTCGGCTCTGTCTGATTCTCATCTAGAATCAAACTTGCGGGATATGTCCACTTCATCCACGCAGCTCCAAAGTGGAGCTTGCCCCAGCGCCTCAAGGTCAAAAGACTTGCAGCTGAGAGGGCATGTCCAGAGCACAGAAATCGACTTTTGCGCTCACAAGCCCTGCTTTTGCAAGGATCTAGCTCTGGGGGCTCTGGGAAGCCTCCTCGTGATGGCTTCTTGCCTCTCTGCCTGGTGCAGGGGCCACAGCTACCAACGATCAGAACCACTTTTCTCAAGAGAAGTTCTGGCCTTCCTTTCACCAAGGCTTGTGTCGACGAAGACGATCGACGGAGCAGAGCTCTAGGTGGGACGGAATGTGTGCATTATCTCCCCTCGCAGTGCGGAACACTGGGGCTCTTGCGTTCGGAGTAGAGGAATCAAGTTGCTGTGATCCCCCGCGAAGCGCGAGGCAGGTGTGCACGGCGGTTCCACGGCATGCAGCGCATTTTCAATTGCAACCGCATGCTTTCCACAGTCCCTCTCAAGCCTCGCTTGCCCCCGCACAGCGGAATTTACTGCCCCCGCACACCGGAATTTACTGCAAAATCGCACTCCCTCCACAGTGCCCTTCTCGTTTTGGCCTTTGTGGTCGATCGCTATAAAGTCCCCGCCAGGCCAACCTAAGAGCTCCTCGGTGTGGTCTCGACATGCCGCCGTTCTACTGGTTCCGAATAAGTCTGAATCGTTCTCCAGCCACTGTGCCGTCCGTATTTAGGGGTGCGCATTGTCCTCCCACTGCGGTCCCGTGCGTTTCCGTGCCAATCGTGCTGCTGGCGTCTCGGGTGCTCTGGGAATAATTCCGGGGTGTGTAATCATACAGTAGGATCCGATATGCTATTTCACAGTAACGTTGGCATGTCTAATTTGTAGATAGGTTGGCTGAAAACCGGACACTGCCCATCCATTCATAGTAGGTCGAGTAGGGCGACACAGACGGTGGTTCTCAGAGGTTGATTCTTGTACTGCCTTGTAATGGTAATCTTGATTTGTGCTGCAAGTAGCCGTAGAATTGCGGGTAGCTATCAGTTCTGAACGTCAATATGATCTCAGAACAACGCCAAAGCGCAGTTCAATCTGCTACCCTGCAGAGTGCCAATGGCTTCTGAAAGCCCACTTTGCAGGAACTTGCTTGCTCTCTGTCTGTCTGTCTCTCTCTCTCCCTCTCTCTCTCTCTCTATGTATAAACTCCAACATGCACCAATGTCTACTTGTATGCACACACGCACACGCACGCGCACACACACACACACGCACACACACTGGAAGAGACAAGCATGCAAACTCACGTTTATGTGAGGCTCGCGGCAGACTCTTCGGACTCGGACAACACGCCGATGCCTGTGCGACAGGTGCTTCACTGACTGAACACAGTTGCACCTGATAGTATCTGAGCGCATGCAATCCTGCTGGAATCAACTGTGCGGTGTTGCCGCGTGGAGGCACCTCTGCAGATGCCGCTGCTTCAGCCAACGTGATGTAAGCAGCTTGGAGAAAAAGCAACCTGCCGCATTGTTTACTGTACGTCGTTTGTTTTGTGACGAATTAGTGTTTTGCTTTACCGCAGTTCCACACGCATGTCTAGGGCTGCGAGGGCCTCCGACCAAGTGCTCTATTGTGTAGGAATATCGCTCAGCGTAGGGTGCTGGGCAAGTTCTCGACGTCAACTTATCGGGTGCACCAGGCAGCGAATTGCACAGTATTTACAAAGCTTTGGGCGTTCACGGATGAGATTTGCCTGGGTTGGGAGGCTCTAGTTTTACTGGTTTTCGTTCGAACGATCTTTACATCGGACTAAGCTCGGATCCGAGTCCTTCCTAAACTCAGGCTCGAATTGCAAAATTAGAATAAAACCATGAAGCCCCAGCCCCAGAACCAACAAAAAAGTGTGGGCCTGGAGCACCGACGAGGCGAGCGGCAGGGAAAATGGAGCTAGATACCTAAGGGGCCAAGGAGATCAAGAACCATGGCTATCTATCATCTTTTCCAGTCACACCATCGTTGGCAGCATCATCAGAACACTATGTACAGAATGGGCCACATTCTCAGAATCACATGGTCGGAGATGTAATCCATAACAACGTTGGACATGGCAGACGAAGTAAGCCAGGACCAGATTAGGCGAGAAGTCTATTAGGTAGAATGGCAGGCGGCAGGTCGCCATAAACCCCAAAGAAAACTGACCCACCCACCACCTCAGCCCCTAGTCTACACCGGGCCTGGACTTACATGTAGCAGTCTCATGGGGAAGGCAGGCCTTAAATCTGAATGGTCATCGGGTACGTCGTTGAGTTGAAGAAATACGGAAGCTTGCCAGTGATGCTCGACGGGACGGACCATGAGTTGACCTCCTAGGTGGCATACGGACTGCCTCAACACTCTAAATGGCTCAAGCCGAACATGCCATGCCTGCTTTGTGCGAGTGGGTGAGCCGCAATGGCTCAAGTTTCTGACGCTCTTACAATCTGCCATGGATCCCACTCCTGTGTCTTACTCTCTCTGGCTGATGCCTGACCCTGGTGAGGTTCAGGAAAGGCTGGACAACTTGGTGGAGCGGATGGCACGGGAGTTGAATGCTCCAAGATTTGACTTTCATGTGACCCTTTTTGGCAGCATCAAGTCTGCAAACCTTCCGGATCCTTGGGCAGAGAGATCAAGGGTGGAATCTGGTGTAGCTTTCTGCGCATGTTGAGGAGTGCTGAATGCCGCATCTATTCGGCTTGGTCAGAATTCAGTGCTTCCCGCACAATTCGAAGACCACGGGTTCTGTATGTCTTGCTGTTCAGGCGTGATCCCGTCCTTCCGACGTGAGCGTTGCGGGGTAGTTCTTAGTGAAGGTGCCTCCCCCCCCCCCCCNNGTTTTAGTGAAGTTGCTACCCCCCGTGTCTTGTTCGGAGACACTGAGTGCATCTTGAAACTTTGGAGCACTGTGATGACAATCTACGAATCTACGTGCTTGCTACTATGCTACTACGATGCATGCCTGGTCGAGGCTTAGACAATCCACTGTCGCGACACCTCTATAGTGAGCCATAACCACGGAACGACGTATTTATAAACCTGCCAAGGAGTTGAAGTCCTCACTCGAAATGCTGGCTGGTGGGCTGCAGCCTTTCGATGTGTCTTTCGGGGAAAACAGCCTTGCGGTGTATGATACCTGGAACCAAAACGTGCTGCTGCGACTCGGCCCGTTTGCAGAACAGTTTATAGCTGCACTGCTTCATGCTTTGCGACTTCAATCCCAGTTCTGCTTGTGTGGTAAAATGGGCCTCCTTGTCCGAATCGTTTGGTAGACTGGTGGGAAATCAGACCGCGCCTTTGGGCATGAACTGGACATGCCTGAACATGAGCAGGCTGGCAGAAGAGACAGCTGAGCTGAAAGCCGCCAACTTGGCGGCCCAGCGAGTCTTTGCCGACCCAGCGGCTAAGGCTGGTGGAGCTCAGTCCAGAACATGCTTACATGAGAAGACCGGACACATAAGTGAGATTTGAAGGTTGTACCGTATAACACGGCTCTAGTTTGGTAGGAAGATTCTCAAGGTATGGTTTAGGCATGTTTGGGCTGTAAAGCTGTAAGCACTCAAACAAGATAAGGTTTTGGTTGTATGTCGCATTATGCCGCATTAGTTCCGTGCGTCGATGAACCGCATTAACCGGAAGACCAACATGAAAGAAGCCGGTATTCGGATCAATGTCGCGATTTTACATGGTCATCATTATGGCGCGGAGTGCAGTGGTGGTCGAAATGAGAGAGGGAGAATGCCTGACGGCCTGCTTGGAGACCATTCTTGGTGATCAGTCTCAGTGGGCTTGTGTCTAACCAGCATGCGGGCGCCGAGAGAGGGCAAAGTCGCTGGATCAGCAGGCTGTGTATGCCACAGATCGCAGCAAACCGATGGACTGATCAAGAATTGCTGAGTTGTCGGTATTTTCCGTCGGCCAGTCCACGTTCAGCCAAGCCTCTTGGGCCGCGACCGGCGATTAGACAAGAGTCTGTAGAGCTGTTACATGTAATACATCCGCGGCAGCATTGCGAGTTTGGCAATCGTGAATCTGGGCCCAACTCAACTAGCCTCCAGGTCAAAAGTTGATAGGCTCAAGTTTGCAGCGCCAACCTCGCCCAAAATCCTCTGTGGCTTTGGTTTCTCTAGGTGCGCATTGGACACTAAAGATGTATGCGCGGGAAGCGATTTAGGTTCGTTTCGCCAAGGGTGTAGAGCTGATCTGTAGTTGCAGGGTCTCGTCACCAGCTTTGCGGGTCTTCTGTCCCAAGAAGCATCAAACTCAGACTAATACCTATATTAATTAATTACTTACTACCTGCGACATACGACCTGATACCTCCTACGTCCCACCTCCTACCTGCTACCTGCCGCTACTGTGCAAACTACAAAACTACAATAGCTAAGGGAAACTAATACTAAGACTGCTTCTGCTACTATTGATTACTACCACGACCTGCTACCTTCTACCTACGACCTACTACTACCTAGTTACTACTACTGCTACAATTTTCGGGGTCCTCTGCGAAAATCACTGGTACTGATTCAGATGTGAGCTGTCATGTCAAACAATTGCGTTGACGTAGTGGAGTGAATATCTCTCGAGAAATGTGGTGATCGCTCTGATGTCGGGTTTTTCTTCGGGGTCTGAGGCTTACTCTGAGAATTACTGGGGGGGGTGTGGGTGTGGTTGTTAAATCGTAATAGTTTGTTTTGATGGCAGTGAGCCTCGGTCCCTGACTCTCCGTCGACGGTTAAGACCTCGCAGTGCTGTCAACTACTACTACTGCTGCTGCTGCTGCTGCTACTACTACTACTCCTGCTGCTGCTGCTGCTGCTGCTACTACTACTACTACTACTACTGCCCGAGTCACCCTTCTAGCACAACTTTCAGATGGTCTTATACCTTGTGGGTGTCCCTAATTAAACCACGAACCTGCGACCGCGCTTTGCCATGGCAACTGAGCTCATTTCGCCGATGCGAAAAACTTGATGATGCTACGAAGGAGCGAATGGTCTGGTCACTTTATTTGGCAATACTGTTGCTCAATACAGTGAGTCTGTTCCACAGTGAAGTGCTTGGCTCTGGATGCCACCTTGACGCGCTGCCACTGCATTGGCCCCGTCTTTGCCATGGCTCTGGGGATGGTTTTTTACAGTGAAAAGTCCACAGGGGTGTGAGTGACACTGCTCCAACTGGTTCCTACACAGGACGTGCTGCCACTGCATTGGCCCCGTCACTGTCGCGACCCTGGCGGATGGTTTTGACGGAAACAATCATGCCAGTGAAGATCCACACGGTATGCTACCACCAACTGGCAACTACACTCGACGTGCTGCCACTGCATTGGCCCCGTCACTGTCATGATGGTTTTAACACTGCCAGTCGACATGGTATGCGGGTGACACTGCGGTTAAGCCCGTGCTGTTAATGCTTTGGCCCCAGTCGCTGTCATCATAGGTGCTGCATGACCCTCATGGGCACAAGCACTTTACAAAGGAGACAGTGGGTATGGGACAAGATGTCTGCGACTGCAGTGGGTTTTGAAACTGGGACAGTGTGCATCGGCCAAGATGTCTGCGACTGGAGTCAGTGTGGCAAAGGACAGTGTGCTGCATTGGCCAGGATGTCCGCGACTGCAGTCGGTGTGGCGAACCGGGATGTGTTCTTGCAGAATGCTGAATCTTGTGTGGGGCTAGTTGAGATTCGGACAATACCAACGCTGGTTAACTCAGGAGCTGAGTCTGATTTCGGAGTTGTACAGCCCCTCCAGTTGTGAGTCCTTGAGTGCTGCTTTCCTACGCTGAGCTAAACTGAGCAAAGCTAAAGCGTAGTTTGTGTCGATTGACGACCGGCCGTAACTTACTTCCTTTGTGTCGCCGGTGTACAGGTCAGTCGATTAGTTTGTTGACCTGCATTATGTGGAGTTGTGCGCAACACTGCCAAGCGGGAGCCAAAACTACTACTACTACTACTACTACTACTGCTACTGCTACTGCTACTGCTACTGCTACTGCTACTACTGCTACTACTGCTACTAGTTCTACTACTCCTACTCCTACTCCTACTACTACTCCTACTCCTA